CCCGGAGGGCTTCCGCGTTCCGAACTACCCTTCCGCGTTCCAAACTACCCTTCCGCCCCGGCGGTTTTGGCCTATGAAGGGCATTAATGTGAGCATCCGCTCGCCGGGGAGTGCTCGTTAACGGTTCTGCCGGTCATGATGTTAAAAAAGAATAACACCCAGGAGCGCCATAAAAACATCTATGTAACATTCGCCCGGAAGATACATATCGACGGAAAATAAAGCTAGGTTCTACGACGACTGGCCAACGTCCAAACAGAGCTCTACATGCTTTTCACCGTCTCTACCAAAGCCAGTTCTTTTGGTGGTCTTTCCAACATCGGATTGACAAAAACGTTACTGTTCTCCGGCTTCGACCAGAACGCTCAAATTAACTTAATTAATTGCAGAAATAGTGAGCTCATGGCCGGCTCTCAGTATCCCCAGACCACGAGGTCACTCCTAAAAACAGGGCTACTACTCTTTATTGAATTAATATTGTTTTTTTTCAGTAGATAAAAATCATCATCTCCATCGAAGATGGATCAACCCTTCCCCCCAACTCCTAGCTTCTCATCCTTGCAAAATGAATTCAGATGTTAATTAAATTCAACTCAGGGCATAATAGGGAAGCTAAAAGTTTATGTAAAACACTTTCAGTCCAAATCCCGAGACCACTCCGGATTCTTGAATCCGGGGAAATAAGACTCTTGTTCTCCTTCCGGAAGGCTGGTTTTCCACCCTTCACCGTTGTTCGCGACGGCCTTGCAACTATTGTAGCGGCACAATAGTTGCAACTCGGAGCGGTCTCTGCTACTTCTACTTCTTTCTGATTCCGATTCTCAATTTTTCCGTTGTTGTCGTCGTCGCAACTATCGTTGTTCTTCGTCTATTTTGTTTTTTTCTCCAAAATGACCGTTTTTGACGTTTCTTAGAATTGTTACGTCATCATTTCGAACTTTTAAAATTTAGGAATTTCCGAATCCTTCAGTTTTCACGATTCAGCTAATCGTCTGAATAACGCTCTTAATCCTTCAAAACCGCCAATTCGGAAGGTTAGCTGCTAACTATTCGAAATCGTCGAATATGCATTTTTGTCCATTATGGTCGAATGTCACAAATTCCCCGGACAGCCTGGTCAATGTCCCCATTGAATCTCGCAATGTTGGTAAAATTGGTACAGTGTCATCGAACTGAAATTACAAAATGCACGAAATTACTCTTATCCACGTCATATCGACTCACTGCAGAATATAAATGGCATCATACTACACTACTATAGCCTTCCAAATTTTTTCACTAATGTGCACTTTGAGGATATGACTTAAGATAAAACATTTTTTCTGAATTCCAATGTCGACGCCCTGATTTTAAAATTTTTTCTCCTAGATTTTGAAAGATGTTAGTTTGCAGGACACTCCTGCCAACCAACAAGCTAAAATTATCCTAGTATGCTTCTTCCCTTCGGAAATTTTAGTTGTTATTGGTCCTGAATCTTAAAATTAAGGATCTCTATGGTTAGAAAGAACAATGGAACAATCTCCCTCTTCGAGAGATTACCCAAGCTTTTCATGTCGCCACAAAGTGATCAGTTTTCCTAGATGATTAAAAAAAGTCCTGCAGGCTGGAATATTTAAATATACTCTTTGCTTAAGCCTTTCTAAATAAATAGTAAGTGTCTCTAAAGCCACTAACTAAAATCAAAAAATAAATTTATAAATGCAACAAATTCTTTAATGCTCAAAACTCAACTAAATGTTTTCTTTCAATTTTCAATTACAACTTGGTTGCTTAGTTTCTCACTTGAGATTTTGTCACACACATAAATTAATTCTGAGTTTTAACTTCTTCCCTTTCGTCACTTCTTTGTTTCCTCTTTTTTTTGTCGTTTAGAAGTTCTAAAACTTCTAAATTCTTCTAATTTTCTTTCCTTCCGCATTTTGTTTTCCGGCCATTTGTCAATGCTCCATCTCCTTCTCCTGCGACACTGACTCTGCACTTTCAGTTTCTGTGCCTTGCAACACATCGGTAGCTATTCTGACGCTGTTGGAAGCAGTCCTCCAACACTTGTGCTCTTCTACCCTTTGTTTACAACAAGTTAGGGGATCTACATTAGATTCTCTGTTTCTGCAGAAGCTATTTTGAAAGCACAACGTTACGTTTCTCTCCAAATCTTCCTTCAACATCTCTTTTTTCTCCCTTCCATTACGTTCACTTGTCCTGGAAACTCTCTTCACCGCGGTGTTCACTGCATTCCGATGAGTCACGAAAGCTCGCTTGAAAGCTCCTGCCCCAATGTCCAGTTGATACACACTGTACACTCTACCGTGCTTCGACATATGCTTCTTGGCATACTCGTACAACCATGCAGTCATGTCGGCTCTAAACCATGGCATCAGTCGTCTCCTTGCCCATATCTTTTCACTTTCATCGGAATGTTCAGAATCTTTTAGACAATCCAATTTCTGCATTTGTTCTCTCGTCGGTGCCTCCTGTCTATTGTTCTCCTTCACATGAGCTTCCAGCCATCGTATCGCCATCATAAATCCCACTATCACTATCGCTATGGGCCGTGATGAGTCTGGTAAACCCACGGAGAGCAGCTCTCCAGAGTCCCAGATCAACACCAGATTACTACGCCCGGGGTACCACCATGTTTGCAGGAAGCAATGGCAGGGAAACTCGTCATGTGTCAGCATGATGCTCCTCCAGTTACGCTTTCCGAAGCTTCCAGTAGTGGTTCCACTTCCATCGTCACTCGGTGGACTTCATCATTCTCATCTACTGTATTGTAATCCGTAACGGTTGATCCTCTCTGTTTTTGTCTTTCAAAGTCACTGAAGTTCCCATTGACGTATCCCATGAACTTCCTTCCCAGTATCGATTCTAACTCCTCCTTAGTTCTCTCTGGAACTGCTGAGAACATTTTGCACAGTAACTCATAAGATTTCTCTGACATTCCCGCTAGTCTCACACACTTTGGCACTGGGAAGGCTTGATCCACGATCCTTCTCGTACTTTTTACATCCCCAACTACGAAATGCACTGGGTATCTGCTCTTGCACATTGGAGCTAATGTCGATCCCACCAAATATCGAGCTCCCGATGGTCTGCAATAAATTTCACTGTGCCTGATGTTCATTTCCGCCTCGATCGCTTCCCTCCATTTTCCTATGTGCTTTTGCTCAGTCGGCAAATCTCCTGGGAACACTTCTAAACTGATGGCCGTGACCATCTCATGTTTCTGTTCTAGATTCAATTATGTCTCTAAAGAACCAAACATACTGTATAATCCTAGCGCAGTCACTAGATTCACCTCGGTTCCTCCATGACAATCTGCGATCAGCTCCGTTTCCGTCTTCGCTTTCATCACAATGTTTCCAAACAATATTGTCAACTGTTTGTGTTGTTTCTCCTGGGTTTTCACGCAATCTAGACTTTCACAAACGTGACCTTCCAGTCCACAGACTTCTGCCAGACAGCTACCAGGTTTAAACCAGTCTTCTGGTCCCCAGCCAGGCAACTCCACTTTGTCTTCCCAGTTGCTCTTAGAGGCTGTTGTCATCACGTTATAGATGATATTAAGATCACGCAGAATACAGTCCGCAATTAGTTCCCTCTGCACATCTTGTGTTGCAAGTAGTATTGAATCAGCATTGGAACTAGGCCACCACGATGGTCTCATCAGTTCCCACACTACCATTAAGCTCGTTCTCAGTAATTCATCTGAGAATCCCAATCCAAACTCCACTCGTTTGTCGGATTATTGCACGGAAGGTGCAGCTTTCTTCTCTTCTAAGACTAGTCCCAGCTTGGTCTGCGGGTTAGCAGCGCTTCTAATCGTTGCAATTCTCGAAGTCCAGAGTATTCGCCATACCAATGGAAGTCAGACACATGTGGAGCCGCTTGAGATTCTTTCCTTGGTTTCGCGCGACGTTAACGTCCTGGTTATACGTGGTGACGAAGGATCACACGAGGAAACATCAAAAAGAATATCGACAGTTCCAGGCCGAGATAGGACCAGATGCCTTCAAGAGACCTCTGCTGACCCATCGAAATGCGATCACGACGGGGTGAAAAAGAGTGGGTAGAGTATCCAGAAACAACACTAGAGCGAGGGAGTCGATACTAGAGGAGGACCTGGCGAAGAATGTAAGCCTGAGTCTTCACAATTCCTTCTGTTTGAACCGGGAGTCGAAGGTGAAGAGCTTACCGAATCAAGCGAAGAGATTGCAAGAGCAAAGGGAGTGGATGCGATCCTATGAACAGCTGAAGGCTTGGGAGGAGATTGTGATCAGCTCCGATGACGAAGAGGCACTATTGAAACAGATCACAGTGTCAAATATATCTGGGTCGGGTACCTCGAGGGCGAAGAACACGAGGTGAGCCGGTGGCTCAAAAGAAAATTCTAGAGTCTTGAGTCTTGAGAGAGAGGGGGCTCGAGGGTGAACTCGGATGAAATCTGGGTTCACGAAAAAGAAATTTTAACAAATGAGATATTGTTATTAATATGCTATATCTATTATATATATCAAAATGCTGCATGACAATTTTCTGATTGAATAGGACAAAAGAAATTTTAAATTACCAGCTTAAAAAGCGAGAATTCATAGGTGCAGGTGTGTGCAGATTTTGATTGCTGTTTAGCGATAGTGTGAAAATTTTATATGGGTTGTGAATTTTGGAAAGTAGATAAACTTAAGTCTGCTGCAAACTTCTGTAAATGACCACTGGCACTGTATTTTGTGTGCCAGTCGGTCATGTCTGGAGGTTTGACCTTGAGAAACACGTAATTTTGGAGTGAAGTTTTAATTTTAAAAATTTCGAATGGAGCCTGTCATGCTCAGTTTTCTCGAACCAACTAAAAACGCAAAATCAAAAATCAGAACGACCGAATTAACAATTGCGGGAAACTACTCAAGAAAAAGGCAGGAAATTGCTATTCGCAATATCTTGATACGAAATAATCAGAGAGTAGAGCTGTCTCATCCTGAAAACAGGAGAATAGAATACAGACTTGAGAAAGGAAGACTATTCGAACGGAAAAGAGTGAACATTCAATGGAAGAGTGGACAACTCGAGTGTCCAATGGTTCATTCAGAAACTTTGATTCTTGAGACAGAACTTACTTCTGTTGTTAAAACTAATTAGCATCAAACTTATTTAGTTATATTATTTGATTCTCAAGCTGCTTATCTTTTAGTTACTCCTCATACTCAAGTGCATCGACATGTGAGTTCTCAATTTAAATTTCTCGAGTGTATTTTATGATAGTTATGTTGAGATAAGGTGAGTTTTAGGTTGATCCATCTGAAATGGATCAAAGTTCCACTGTCCAATAAAAAGTAACTAAGCGGATTGTTCCGACCCGGTTTTTAACGGCGTTCATGTATTTTGGGTATTTCGAGACCTAAGTATGGGGACGTTTTTATTTCTAGAGTGGGGGGTATTTTGGTAGTGGCCTTTAAGCTGTAACGGGTTCCAGTCTCATGTCGCAAGCGAACCGAATTGGCTCCGACCGTTCTTGAGGTAGAAAAACACAAGAGATAGTGTCCCTGACTCTTGAGCCAATAATTATAGGGCCTATTTTTCTTAAGCCTCATGTGTGACTACAGTAGACGAATGTTACATTGAGTGACACTCGGGATTCTGGGGATTCACTGTAAGAGACAGCACGCGATGAGGACATCGATCTTGAGTCCGGGGAGTATGTGCCAGTCGGTCATATCTGGAAGTTTGACCTCGAGGGACACGAAAATACGTGATTTTGGAAGGAAATTTTTATTTTCAAAATTTCGAATGGAGCCTGTCATGCTCAGTTTTCTCGCACCAACTGAAAACAAAAAGTGAAAAATCAGAACGACCGAATTAACAATTGCGGGAAAGTGGTCAAATATATACAGTGGGAAATCGCTATTCGCAATTTCCATCGTAGAAAACGAGAGTAGAGCTGTCCTATCTGACATAGGAGACAAAAAGAACACGAGAGCGGAGTTAAAATCAACTGGACCAGTGTGAACCTTCAACGGAAAGGCGGACAGGTGAAGTGTCCCAATGGTCCAGAGCCAAAACTATATTCTTGAGTAAAAACTTACTTCCCTTGATTGGAACTCATCATTAGAAAACTTCTTGAGTTATATTTGATTATATTCATGCCAGAGTCGTTAATTAATTCAATTACTCTGTGTCTCGAGCGTGCTGCTATGTGAGTACTAAATTTAGTTTTCTCGAGTGTGTTTTATGATTGATATGTTGAGATTAGGCGAGTTTTAGGTTGATCCATCTGAAATGGATCAAAGTTCCACTGTCCAATAAAAAGTAACTTAACGGATTGTTCCGACCCTGTTTTTAACGGCGTTCGTGTGTTTTGGGTATTTTGAGACCTAAGTATGGGGACGTTCTTATTTTCTAGAGTGGGGGGATATTTTGGTAGTAGCCTTTAAGCTGTAACGGGTTCTAGTCTCATGTCGCAAGCGAACCGAATTGGCTCCGACCGTTCTTGAGGTAGAAAAACACAAGAGATAGTGTCCCTGACTCTTGAGCCAATGGTTATAGGGCCTATTTTTCTTAAGCCTCATATGTGACCGAAGTAGGCGACTGTTACAACCGGTACAGCGTCCATGTACCCATTTTCTGTAAAGAGTGCACATAATCGAGTTTCTGCCAACTCTAGTTCCACAAACGCCGCAAGGATCAACAGCAGCAATACGGGTGACACTAGGGAAGTCTCCCATTCCCTTGGTTTTGCCCACATTAACCCGAAGGCCTTTGGACTCCAATGCTGACTTCCACATTCTGTACTTCCTCATGACTTCTTCGGGTGTCTCTGCTGCGAGTGCTATGTCATCCGCATACAACATTTCCAGTATGGAGCCACCTCGCACTTCTTCAGTCAGATAATCCATAACCGTGATAAACAGGAGGGGGCTGAGGATTGAACCTTGATGCACACCAACAGTAACATCAAAAGCATCTGTCGGTTCACCGTCCACAATAACTGAGGTCTTACAATCGTCATATGTTGCCATAATAGCGTTTAAGAAATGCTCTGGTTTGCGTTTATGCCTCAAACTTTCTATAATGAGGCGCCGCGGGACACGGTCAAAGGCCTTCTCCAGGTCGATAAAAATCCAGTACTGTTTTCTGCTACTTTTACTGTTTTTGGTTTTCTCTTCCATTGGGGCCTGTGTTGTCTTTTAGCTAGTTTTCTATAGTGTTCAGTAACGCAGTATCGCAGTTACAATTCCCGTTGTTGATATATCTGTCTTGTTTCCCTGTGTTGTCCCTCACTTAAGTGTTAAGTGCAATTTTCAGGGATCAATATGTCACAGAAAGTAGATTTTTTGAAAGATCTGGAAATATTGAACAGCCCAAATCTAGATCACGGATCTGCAGATTGTGGACGCTTGGCTTTGGATTTACTGACAAAAGTTCCTGGAGCTAGAGATACGTGCCTTGAGGCCTTATTTCGATTCTTTTTGAAGACAGCTCAAATACATATTGCCAATAGTGCAATACTCGGGGCTTCTGACATCAAAAAGCAATTGAAATCATCGTCCGCTGAAGTAGAAGAAATTTGCACGGGTGCCACCGATTGCTTAAAAAGTCAAATGAGTAAGTCTCCGAAGGTTAGTAACTGAGCATTGGTGAAAACTAACTTGAATGCACTTCGTTTTTTATTTCTGCATAATTTTAGACTTGGCTAAGAGTACTGTTGAAGTGGAGTGCACAGCTCCTTACTACAATGGCCGTACAGTCGAGAGCATCTGGAGCCGGTTACTTCTCTGCTCCAATTGAAGATACTGTAAGTGCTTGGTTGTTACAATGTGCACCCAGTCATGCAGCTATGACTTTATTGGATGCCTGCGTTGCGCAAGTGTGCCAGAAGAACCCCATCATATCGACAGAAGAAGTTATCACGCAAATCATGGGGTTGGTAAGTTTGAACATTATAACTTTTGTGATAAGCAAATGTATTTCAACCGGATACTAAACTTCTTTCCCGTAGATAACTTTGTTCACAGAATGACTTTGATGGTCATTTCCAAATAGTCATATTTTGAGCATACTCGCATTTGTAATACTCATTCTATTTGTTCAAAAATTGCTTATGACGTTGGTGGTTAATATACCAACTCTGGCTTGTTACGTTTGCGATTAGCAGCGGTTATGAAATCGGGATATGGAGTTTTTTCGGGTTAACAACTCGTTGACCAAAATCATTTGATAGCTTGGATTATAATGAATTCAAATTTCTCAGTTTCTCCGTTATCCTTTTGTCTAGAGATAACGACTACGCTTGGGACCGCAAAGTTCCGAGGTTTGAATATGTTTTTTTTCCAAAGGGATTTATTCCGTTTCCGAAAAAATTTCAAGCGATTTTCCTTGTAACTGAAAGTGTTATGAATTATTTTTATTTTTTTTATAATTTATTTTTGTATTGTTTTTGTTATTTCTTTTGTATTTTTTTTTCGCTTAGAAGCTTTATTTGACCTATCGTTTTGGCCTACAATTTAGAAGCATTGTTTGAGGGGAAAAATAGATTTTTTATTCAGTTGTATTTCTTTTGTCTCAGTGTTCAGAAAAACCGGTTTGAGTTTTTCGGTCTAATTTTGAGCTATTACGTTGAGCGTGTAGGCTTACAATAGCCTATTTGTATTCAAAACTATATTTACTTATTTTTTTTGGAATCAAAACTGATAAGTTCAAAAAGTTTGAAAAAAAAATAGAAAATTTAATTTGAAAAATCTTTTGGCCATTTTTTTACTGTGTTGTATAGCAATTGCTGCAAAAAAATTTCAATTTAGGAGATAATGAAGGCTATTTGCGCTATTTGATTAAGAAAGCACAAATCCTCAAAAAAATTGATTGAATTATAGTTTCAAAACCAAACGGCATAAAAACAGCGTAATAAAAACTTTACCTTTTGATCCAGTATTTACACAAGCAAAGCTTGTGTGATATTATGAACTCTCTTTTTTCCAACTTAAGTCGCAAATATTAGTGTTCATTTTGAAAGGGCTCATTTTGATCAACAAACAGCTATTAAGTACAGCCAATGCTAAGGATTATTAAGAAAGAAAGAATAGAAAGAAAGAAAGAATAAATTATTAAGATAGAAACACATCTATCTTACACGTGATAGAACAAAAGCAAACAAAAGTTTATAGAAAGTTTTTGTTTCTTAAGGCTCTGGCTGGAAAAAGCTTGAAATGTTTTTCTAATTTTTCGTGTGCTGCAACTGCTTTTTCTCTAAGTCTGTTTTCTGCATAAGTTTCTCGTTTTGGCAATTTTGAATGAAGAATATGGTCTTGTTTTGAACTTGACTGTAATAGTTTGTTGTCATGGTTCTCTATGAGCTCGAAAATTGGAGTAAATGTAGAAGTAACACCAAGTTTAAGAGCCCTGCGCTGAACTTTGTCCACATCGGCCAATTCGGTCGAATTGGCACATGCCCATACCGGTAATGCGTAAGTAATTTTACTCTGCACCAAAATTTTGTATAAAATATCAAGGGCAGAGATGTTCATACCAAATGTCTTTAGTCTATACAAAAGGTATATACTGCTGGTTACTTTTTTGCATAAACTTTTGATGTGCGATGAAAACGTAAGCCTGCTATCAAATAATACTCCGAGAATTTTAAGCTCTTCCACTTGCTCAATACCATCAAAAGCTTGTGGTACTAAACTAATGTCATTCGGTTTGACAGTCATCAGTTTTGTTTTTCCCTCGTTGAGTATGAAGTTATTTGTGGAGTACCAAGTTTTAATTTCCTCCAAAACTTTCATCGTGTTTTCGACCGAGCCGAACCCCGCTATCACAGAGTTTGCATCGTCCGCAAACTTTATAATTCTAGCACTGTTTGTACTCTCCAAATCCAAATCATAGCTTACTGTATTAAAAAGCGGCGGGCCAAGAACTGTTCCCTGAGGAACACCTTGGTTAATGCATAGCAAGTTCGAACGCTGAGAATTACTTTCCGTGAAAATTTTTCTGTCCTGAAGAAAATTTGCGATCCAATTGATTATGAATGGATTGATTTCCGGTCTAACTGATTGTAGCTTATCAATTATAATTGAATGCTGGGCTCTATCAAATGCTTTACTAAGGTCTATTGATAGTATCTGTATATAATCAGCTTTACTTTTCTGAAAAGAAGCAATTTCTTGCTGAAGACAAATCATAGCCGTTGTGGTAGACGCTGAATTTCTGAAACCGTGTTGGTTTTTAGGTAACCAGCTGTTGTACTGTGCTGAGATGAAGTTTTTCATAATAATAATTCTTTCGAAGAACCGAGAGATTACTGGGGTGATTGAGATGGGTCGATAGTCCTCAGGGCCCATAGGGGCTTAACACTGACTATTAAATTACAAACAGCACTTTAGCTTCAAGGTATCATGGATCTGTTGCGTAGAGGTAGGGAAGGAGACCCGCAACACAATAAGGGGGTTCGCACTTGGGCACGGTCGGATGTTTTAGTGAACTTTTTCGTATTCTAGTTAAAATGTACCCGCTCTATAAATTGAGGAATGCTAGTTAGTAAATTTCTTTTTTTTACTCAAAGTTTTTTTCATTCAATTTTTCCCAGTAGCGTTATCGCCCATATTTTTGCTTGTGTATGCGAAGTGCAACTTCGCCTGTGTCCAAAATTGGAACAGTTTTTTTCTAAGTATTGTCAATCATAAATTGTTCTTGAAATTCAAAGAGCTTTAAGGCATCTATTTTTTTCTTTGAAGATCTAACATTGAGCTTTGGTTTAAAAAATAAAGATTTGTTTCCTGATTACGTACGTTCATGGACTCTTTTCCAACTGTCTGTCTGTTGTCTATGTTTTTAAAGACACTTTTGGTATTTTTTCAACTTTGTTAAATTTCAGTGTTTCTTGAAAGTTTTTCTTTACGCGAATGTGTACAGCCATCGGGAAAGTGTGGGTTTTTCTCAAAACCACCCTCCGAAAACTGAGATTTTGACAGCAATAGATAGAACGGGTTGTGAGAAGCTCCCCTGCATCAGCGACTACGCTCAAATTTTACTCAAAACTGTATGGCCCTCGAAACAGTCAAATATTTGACCGTTTTTTTCTATTGTTTTTACTTTTGTCGAGAATTAACCGCCCAAGTGGAGTTTTTGAGTTCAATCCAAACAACAATTGTTGCAAGCGCTCCTGCCTATGCGGCTACACCCACATCAAAAAAACTTTGAAATATATTTTTTTCTCGACGGGTTTTTGAAATCATTTTCCGTATCTCAAAAACTTCCCTCCCAAATCTTTTACCCAAAAGTAATAGGCATCAGAAAAGTCAATATTTTTATTACCGTTTTTTGAAACTATTTACTTTTTCTCGAAAAAACTCGCAAATCTGAGTTTTTGCGTTCAATCAAAATAACAGCCTAAAGTTTTATATATAAAAAGCATTGGTTCTCGGAGTAGTCAAATTTTCTGTTTAAATGACCGTTTGTTGGAAACTTTTTGACTTCGAAAACTACCCTCGCAAATCTTACAGAAAAGTCAATTTATGTTTTTAAACATTTGTTGAAACTACTTGACTTTTCTCGAAAACACTCCCAATTTTGAGTTTTTACGTTCAATCAAACTAACAGCCTAAAACTTACAGGAAGATTTGGTTCTCGGAATAGTCAATTTTTTGCCCGTTTTTGGAATGTTTTCTCGAAAACTGCCCTGCAAATTTTAAATTAAGTGTTGAATCAAGAATTCCGGCCACAACCTTATTTATACAGAAAAACAAGGTGTTGATTTTGGAAAATTTTTTGCGAAGTTTCAGTGTTTCTTGAAAAATTTTTTGCCCGACTGTCTTCAGCCTCCGAAAAAGTTTGAGTAGTCTCAAAACTATCTTCACAAATCTGAGATTTTGTGTTCAATAGATAGAACAGGTTGTGGTAAGCTTCCCTGCGTAAGCCGCTACGCCCAACTTTACTCAAATTTATATGACCCTCGAAATAGTCGAATATTTGACCGTTTTCTGATTCTTTTTGACTTTTGTTCAAAAGTATTTGCACAAAGCTGAGATTTTAGGCTCAATTCAAAGAACATTTATTGGAAGCGCCTCTGCCTATGCGCCTACACCCACATCAAAAATTTAAAAGTATTTTTTAAACCGGTTTTTGGATTTATTTGACTTTTCTCAAAAACACTCTCCCAAGTGTGAGTTTTTGCGATCAATCAAAATAATAGCCTTTTTCCTTGTTTATAAGAAGCTGTCTCGGAATAATCAAATTTTGAATTAATTGGCCGTTTTTTTGGAAAATTTTTGACTGTTCTCAAAAATTACCCTCCCAAATCTTATACAAAAGTTATGGGCCTCAGAAAAGTCAATATTTGTTTTTTTTTTCGTTTTTTGAAACTATTGACTTTTCTCGAAAACACTCTCCCAAATCTGAGTTTTTGCGTTCAATCAAAATAACAACCTTAGTAGAGAAGCAACTAAGGTTTTTGGCAGTCTTTTTTTTTAAATTACCCATTTTATCCCGCATCGTTGTAACAAAATTCAAAAAATAATTAAGTAACTCAAGATTTGTCTGAGCTTTTGTTGTCTTTTATCAAGCCATCCAAAATTTTTGGATCACTTAGTATTTTGATTTTTTTTTTGATTTTAATAATGTATTTTTTTTACAATGGCGAGCGTTAGTGTATTAGTACTAACTTTTTTTTCTAAACTAGTTCGCAAATAAAGGTGTTTTTTTTTAAAAGTGTTCAGTTATTTGGAGGTTTCACTGTAGCATTGGAAATTGCATAGATTCTGTTCTCTGCTTTCTTTGTGGCTAGTGTTTAGTACATAGTAAGCTTCCGTGGTTAGTGCATGAGTTTCATAATCTCTAGATCGCAGATTCGAATCTCAGACATAGCCGAATTATTTTGATTTTGAATCTTTTTTTTTCTTGCACTGTTAGAGCTGCTTTTTGTCGTGTTACCGCGCGTGTTTGCGAAGCGCAGCTTCGCCTCAGTTTTTATGCTTGTATTGTATTGCAAGTGGTGAACTTGATAGTTTGATTACGAGTGGAAAATGTAGTTCAGTCTCTTAGATAGGTCGTTACGATTTTTTTTTGCTTTTTTTTCCAGGAAATTTGCTCTGGGTCGAATTTGGTTTTTGGTGGTTTGATTTTTGGTTTCTTTTTATGTTTAGTTTTTGTCCTTTGTTAAAATCATGGCAAGTTCCGCTATCAATTAGCAAAAGTGTAAATGTTACCAAAAACGCGATCGACTTCTAATTTGAAAGAGGATTTTAATATTCAGAATAGCGGGAAAAAAATTTTACCTATCGTTCTAATTTTCTAAAACTGAGCGAATTTTATTGAAAAGTGTCAATCATAAATTATTCTAAAATTTCAAAGAGCTTTAAGGCCATCTATTTTCCCCCTGAAGTTCGAAATTGAGATTTTTTTTCAAAAAACAAGTCAATTTTTAAATGTTTTCTTGCGTTCATTACTTTTTTCCAACTGTCAGTTGGCTATGTTTGAAATCTTCAAGTAGATTTTGGTCACTTGTTTTTTGGGTTATGAAAGTTCAACTTCGATGTTCTTTTTGAATTGATTTTTGTTATGATCTGCTAATAGCTAAGTTGAATTGTTTTTAAGCACCGTGTAATTTATATACCATAACCGTAGATTCAGTATGTTGATTAAATTTTAAACTATGATTGAGGTTCTAGAAATACTTATAGATGTAGCTTGTTGTTTGTGAATCAGTATTGAATTTTTGTTCCAAAGCATTATTCAAAATTAAGAAATTCGAATTTTGAAGATTCATTTTAGCGGTCTATTTTTTTTTATCTCGGCGTTGATTTCTCATCATTGTATGGTCATTGGTGTTCATCGCAAATGTTATCAAATCGGAACATAAACTTAATCGGTTTTAATTTTTTGAAGACTTTCTCTTGTTTTCCTCTAATTTTCATTTTCAGTATTTTACTCATTTATTCCTGCAGGTCAAAGATAATCTACCAAATGCAGAATGGATTGTGGCCCATCTAGGAATGAACCATCCTGAGCTGATTTTGCCAGCAGTGGTCGATCTGTCTTTGAAACAAATTCACGAGCAATGTGACTCATTCGGGCTACCCGCCAACATGAAACACAGCGCGACAGTAACTGCTGGCTTGAAATTGAACTTCGTTGAATCCGTTGCTTACATTGCGAAGTTTCATCGACGAATGGTCCAGCAGAAAATGGTGTCACCTCTGAAAAATGCTATCCTAGCATTAAAAACCAGGTACTTTATCATTGTTTGAATAAATCTTGAATTTTCCTTAATATTTTTACTTATCTTAAATTTCAGTGGGCACAACAGCCGGAGACTTAAGTTACGGCTTAACAGCCGGAGACTTAAGTTATTTTAAGAACACGGGTGCTATGAATTTTCGTACATTTGTTTATGTTCAAGGATACATCAATCAATTAATGTTTTTTTTTCAGTTTTTTTTTTGCTGAAACACATTTTGGGTTCATTAATTTGCTACAGTTTTACATGGTGTGAACAAAATTTTGTATAGGTACTCTCTTCTCTGTGTCGACTATCTGATGTTCACTTGCGATAAATTACCCGATTTTTCTGGATGTATTCTGGAATATCTGGCGGAAATACTCGACATAGAATTGCTAGATAAGACCATGCAAACGTTGGACAAAGGCATTGAGCATGTCGACCAAGCGTCGATTGATGCTCTAACAAACCAAGCGGTTTCATTACTGATGAAAAATGGACCGAGTTCATTGAAGTTGTTCAAGTTTTTACTGGAGACTCATTGCAAGACAGTTTCGAAAAGACTGTCGAAAAAGTTCCACGTACACATTCATAATTTGCTGCATTACTGGTTATTGGAGCTACAAAGAGTGGCACAGTCGAGATACTTTTCCTACAAGTTGTCATTGACTGATCAGCTTTTCATAATGGAACTCATTGAAAATTTTGAGTTCTTATCCGAATTGTATTGGTACATGCTGATTCACGAGCAGACATTTTTTGTAAGGTTTTACATCAGGACTCTTTGCCTAGCCGAGGGCGACGTCTTTGCTGCTAAGTTCATTCTGCATTTGATGAGTCATGAATACTACCGGAGCTTCAAAATTATGGAAATATTGGCCATAGTTAAAGAAATAGGACTTGCATTGCCCAACATCCATACTTTAATCATCCGTAAAATTTCGCTTACTTTACCATCAGAATCGAGTATTGCGTCTGTTTACTTGAAAAGTTTGGTTTATTTGTTTTCTTTACGTACTGATGAAGCTGACTATCACCACACGAAATTCGCGAAAGCAGTGACTGAAAAGTATCCGCAAATTGCCAAGTTCATTGCTTATCCTAACTTAGCGGTGAATAGGACTGCTTTGCAGTTTCTGAGTGCGGTCAAAATAAATTCTATTATTGATGAAGCTGGCACAATTTATAAAATAAATTCGTACTTGATTGCATTTATTTTGAACGTAATGCAGAGAGAATCAAATTGTGCGAAGCGCGAAGCCAGTGAAAAGTTGATGCAAAGATACTTGAAATCCTTGTGTGGAGTTTTGTCGACAGATGGTCTGGAAGCTTTCAGGCAGCTGTTTGTAACCAGTTTGTTCAAGATGTCAGTGTCAGATGCTCAGTGTCGGTTATTTGGAGGTTGGTTCAATTTTAAACGGTCTTCGAGGACTTGAGATATTCCCAAAACGTCGTATAAACTAACGGGTTTACAACCACCGAACTTAGAGGTGTTTGAAACCTGCGAAATTGCCTCATTTATTCAACTGGAATTGAATATAAAAAAGAGCAGTTGAATTCTTCATGATAGTTATTTAAACGATAGAAATCTACATGATTAAGCTGCTGATTGCCACGAAGGACATTTATTTAAGCGTAGCAGTTTGTTTCTCCTAATTTTGTTCGTAAATACTTTCTAAGAGTAATGAACGCTTGGAAGACTCTTATTTAGGTCGTAATGATTTTTTTTGAATTTTTTCAAGAAATGTCTAAAATTTGTTCATGCTTAATTTCGATTTTTCGCGGTTTGGCTTCCGATTTCTTTTTAAGTTCGATTAGTTTCCCTTGTTAAATGGCCACTTCCATTATCGAACAGCAAAAGTGTAAGTGTCACGAAAAACGCGATCGACTTCTAGTTTCGAAAGTAGGTTTTAATGTACAGATGTCCCAGCGGAATTAAACTTTTGCCTATTGATCTAGTTTTCTCAAATTGGCAAATTGGGTTAATTTTTTCAAATAAACATCAATCATAAATTGTTCATGAAATTCAAAGAGCTTAAGAGCATATATTTTTTTCTTTAAAATTCGAAAACAAGTGTTTTTTCTTTCCTTGCTTCGTACTCCTTTGCAACTGTCAGGTGGTTTTATTATGTTCTGGTGATTATACTCTTGAAGCGTATTGTGAACACATTTTCGAACTAAAATGAAGCTCGCCTAAAAAAAAAGGAAAAGGCACGAAAAACGGCTTTTCAAAATTGAGAGCGTAGTGTTATATGATCAGACCACGCTTTTAAAACGCGAGGGGGCGCATTTCATTGCAAATTTCTTGCATAAATTAAACAGCATGGGTAAAAGTGTTGATGTGTAATTTTGAGCAATCTCCGCAATGAACTAAATCACGAAGCACTATGTTATTCGTTTTAAAACTTTTTCGTAATTTTAGTTAACCTGCCGGATTTGCACTAACGTATTGGATGGTGCGTATTCATTGGTCCCAAAACAAAAAATCATACGCATAAGTCCCAAAATTTTTCAACTTAAACCAGCTTTCGGTTTGAGGTCGCCAGTATACGAGCCAAAAACTTTGAAATCGATCTTATTTGTATCTGTAAAGGAGTTAAGTGCTCATGCTCAACTGAATGTGCTTGAGGTCAACAATAAAGTGCCAACTTCGAATATGAAAAAGACTTCTGTGTCAAAAGAAATGGTGTTTTTTTTCGATTTGGTTCGTTCGTTATAAATTTCTAAAAATGCAAAAATTACATGGTTTTGTAATCTAAGAATAAAAGGAGCATATTTTTTGGCGAATAAAATACAATTTTGTAAAATCAGCGTGACTTGAATTGTTAAATTAGTTTTTGTCTGCGTAGTTTTTATCGGCTCACTTTCCAAAGCGTGGGTTTTATTAAAGGACTAAGGAGTCTTCACCATTTTACATGCCCATATCTAACATTTGTTAAGATGCAGCTTGTCTTGAATGGTTTCGTATGTTATTTCTCTTTTTTTGCTTCATAATAAGTAATTTAAAGGGAGAACAGGATTTATACTTTTGCGAGAGCAAGTGTCTTGTAAGCGGGATTTAGACTTTTTCCCCGTAAACAACTTTTCTTACAATAAATTGAACTTGCTTCATTTTGAACCTCAGCAGCTTTAAGGGTTCTTCCCAGTACCTTGTTTTTTTATCATAATGTATGAAATTCAAATGTTTTCCAGTTAAAATTGAATTGTCGGATTTTTGTTTGTCTGCTCAATCACGGATTTTTCTTGTGCTTTAGGCAGAAATAATGGTAGTTCCAAGTGTTGATCATTGTAGTTTCAGAGGGGGCTTTAAAATTTTTAAAGGAAGTTCTTGTTTTTTTTTGTTTAAGCTGATGCATGTCCACTGATCATTCTTTTGTTACGAGTTGATGAATGTAGTTCAAACTGTTTTATAGGTGATGATGGTTTTTTTAGGACAAGCCATAAATTTTAATCAGGCTCAAATTTACTCTTTTGCTGTTGGACTTATGACTTCTTAATTTCAGTTAATTTCCTTTGAACTCCATTATCGAACGGCAAAAGTGTATAGGTCACGAAAAACGTGATCGACTTCTAGTTTCGAAAGTGGAATTGGATTGTAAGATTTCCCAGCGGAATAATTAATTTACCTATTGATCCAGTTTTTTGGTTAATTAAATCAAAAAAGTGTCAAAATTAAATTGTTCTGGAAATTCAAAGATCTAAAAAATTTTCATGTTAATTCAAAATTTCACTTAATCTAGTAGAGACAGAACTAAGGCTTTTGGCAGTCTTTTTTTTAAATAACCCATTTTATCCCGCATCAGTGTAACGAAATCCCCAAACATCAAAAACGTACCTCAAGCTTTAGCTGGCCCCTTGTTGTCTTTTATCGAGCCATCCAAAATTTTTGGTTCACCAACTTTTTTGGATGTTTTTTTTTCATGTTTGTTTTGTATCGCAAGTGGTGTAGTGGATCGTATTTGATAAGGGTTGATAAATTTCGTTCAGATTCTAAGGTAGGTCGTTATGATTTTTTCGGTGTTTTCAGGAAACGTCTTAAAAGTTGTTCAGGTGCGAATTTGTTTTTTTTAGCGGTTTGGTTTTGAATTTTTTTTCTAAATGCAGTTATTTTATTTAGTTCAAATGAAGGCAAACTCCACTATCAAACAGCGAAAGTGTGAAGGTTACCAAAAATGTGATCGACTTTTGGTTTCGAAACTGGATATTAATTAGCCGATTAAGATTAGCAGATTGAGATTAGGCGATTCTAGTTTTCTCAAATTGCGTAATTTTTTTTACGCTTGCGCTTAGCAAGCGTTATCAAATCCTAATTAAGATTTTTTGTCGGGTTAACAACTTTTTCAACAGATTTACTTAAATCACTTGGTATCTTGGTTCATAATGAATTCAAAATTCTAAGCGTCTCCGGCACACTTATTCTGGAGTTAACGAATACGCCTGGGGCGGCAAAGATCTTCGACTCGAATCGGACCCGGACCTGTTTTTGTTGTATTCAAACAGGAAATATTACTTTTCCAAAAAAATATCGGCTTTTATTTGTATGCTTATGTCTTGTTGCCATGTTGTAGATTTGTGTTTTTAAGTTTTTTGTGTTCTAATATAGTTCTATTATACTGTTTGTAATTTGACATCGTTGACTAAACTTGACATCGTATATTTTCTTTTTTTGTTTTTGTTTTCGCGTAAAAAGTCCATTCTGCCCAAATGATTTCGGCCTGTTTGTTTATTGGCTGGCTTAGTGAACTAATTTCGAGTTGTTTCAACGAAAGTATTTCTTAATTCTCACTTCCGGATCGAACAGAATGCTGTAAATCTTAATAGAATTTAAGTTTAAGTTTTCCATGACAACAATTTTTTTCGGCTTGATAGGTTTCGGCCTATATTGTATCGGCTTGTTCGCCTCCTACTGCGTCTTTCGACGAGCAATAAAAGTTTGTGTATGCTTGTCTGTGTTTTGAGAGTGAGGGGGACTTATTACCGTCTTATTAGTCTTAATTTTTTTTGCTTTTTTATGGATCATTAGGTTTCGGCCTATAATATATCGGCTTAGTGGCCTCATAATGGTTCATTAGACGAGCAAAGCAAATAGTTTTTTGAGCGTTTGTGTGTTTTGAGGGGAAATGGACTTATTAGCTTTTCATGAGTTTTAAGTCTTGTTGACTTTTTTTTTGACTGAAATGGTTTCTGACAAGGTATTTTCGGCTTGGTTACCGCTGGGAACATTATCTTCCGATGCTTATTTCATATTATAATTTCTTGGTATGTTTGTGTTTCAAAACAAGATTTCATTTTGATAGATCTGGTTTTTTCGACCTTTTCAAAAAAAATTTTCTAGTTTTGTATTGCCAGTGGTGCAAAGCTGAGCTTCGCGTCTGTGCCAAAAAGTGTCAATGATAAATTTTTCTAATGTTTCAAAGAGCTTTAAGGGCATCGGTGTTTTACCTTGTATTTGGAAATTTAGATTTTTTCAAAAAAGTAGTCTGTATTTTTTTTTCCTATTCACTTGCGTTAATCGACTCTTTTCCAATTTTCTGTTGGCTATATTTATTAATTTTGGCGTGATTCTGTTTTTGTTCTTTCCCACCTTCTAAAAGGTGTTATCAAATTAATTATGTTACTCGTGTTTCGGGTTCAAAAAAAATCAAAAAGTTTAAAGTATTGAAAAAAAATTTCTGATTATTTTTGGTTTTCAGGTTGAATCAGACGGAAATTGATTTGATGAAAGGCAATTCTTTTGCCGCAATTAAATTTTTGTTTTACTCGTTTGAGCGTTTTGTATCTCTAATTTACTGATGCTGTCCAATTATAATGCATTTTTCCCCGAACGCTTAGTACGTACGTTTGAAAAACCATTGATTCGGCACAAAAAGTATCTGTATGCTTTGTGGCAGAATTTTGGATGCTAAAATAGTCCAGATGAAATGAAAAGTTCCGCTTCGCTTCTGTGTTAAAGTTAGAAAGCGTCAACGTCAAATAACTCTTCAAATTATCTTCAGGCACTTCTGGCAAAACGAAAGAGGAGGATCCCAGTACGTACATTAGTTTATTACAACAAAATCGATACATAAATAGGACGAAGTGCTCTTCAACTCCATTGCCACTGTTGCGCGCCAATAATTTGAAGCAAATACAGATTGATGAAAATAATAACAATGAAAACACTTGGAAAGCTGAAAATAACATATCGTTCATAATCGGTTTAGTAACAGTAGTTGCGGGTAAGGATTTCACTGATACAAAGGAAGAACCATCGAATCAATCGTCTGCATTGTTGGATCACAATACCATGGCTTGTCTTGCAAAGGCAGTTGCTGAGTTTGCATGTGGTCAAACCGCGTATACTGTAAACCAGTGGGGAGATTTGACATTGGAAAGGCCATATTTGGGTAAGTATATAAAATAACTTCTGTCAAGTCAAATATTATTTCCTGGAAACAGAATACTTGAAAGTTAGTTTTTGAAATAAACGATCTTTTTATGAAATTTTATTCTTTTTTTTGAAAATCTTCAGTAATAATAATTCAATAAAGCTATTTAAATCATAAGAACTATAGATGCTTGTCGATTTTTAGAACCCCTTAATGGAAACCCTAAAACACCTTAATTACACTTGCGAAACGAGTTTAGTAGTGCGAACCAGGGGCGGATCTAGGATTTTCTCGAGGGGGGGGGGGCGGATTTTCAAAAAATTTTCGAAAATTTATACGACTTTTTTTTTAGGTCGATCAGATTGATTTTCCGAGCTCTGCCAAAGCGGTAAAAAGACCCTGTTTTGGCCAAATTTTCTGCGCAGCAGGCAATTTTTGAAAAAAAACAGGTCAAAAAAGCCGTTTTTGGGCACTTTTTGGAAAATTTTGACAAAAAAAAACGCGTTTTTTTTGCGCGCGCTCCCCCTAAAAATTAATATATATTGGTGCCTTTAGAAAAATTTTAGGGTCGATCGGCCAAAAATTGATTTCTCAAAAAGTACCAAAGGGGGGACCCTTTGGGTTGGCAGGGGTCCCTAAATCCGCCCCTGGTGCGAACCATCTTCTTTTTTTTCCAACCTAAGTCGCAAATTCGCAAATATTGGTCCCACGTTTGGTGCACCTTTACAGATTTTTCTCATAGCATGTGCTTTGACATTCGAATAGTATTAATTTAATAATAATTATTATAATTAATTGTAGTTCCTGCGAATCGCAGAGGAGCTATCAGTAGGCCTTAACAGTCGTGTCGAGGATAGTCCGTTTGTATTATTTCCCCACATTCCAGACTGTGTTATTTTGTTGAGAGAAGCTCTTTTTTGCGACTCAAGGCCGTTTTTGTGCGTCTAGAACTTTCACGTGGTACCACTTTTGCAGCCAAATTTGGTCAGGTTGTGGTAGACCTGGAGCTAGAGGTCAAGTGAGAGCTCGTCCTCACACACTATCATTGCCATGGCATGGGATCGATTACACGATCTGACGATTCTAAAGTGAACGCCTTACCACTATGCTAAGTGCCCCTAATTTAACACAGTTGATGCATTTTTAAATCATTAAATGAAGTATTTGTTTCAAACAACATTCCAATAATGAAAACTCGATTTCAGAAATTTTCTAACTCAATATATCGCAATTTTAACGCAATATATCGCAATCAAAATGCATCATTTATACGTAATTGTGGCTTTATTCTTTGCTAGTTGTTATATGCAACGTTGTGGATGCCTTCAGTTTGTTATATTTCAAATTATTACTTGCAAAATTGAGTATTTTTGAATTTGGTGCCACTTTTGCTGAATTGCTTGACAATTAATTAGCATATGTAGCTGCTTTATTCGTGACTAGTGTTTCTCTGTTGTTAAGCTTGCGTGGCTGAGTGGATAGTGCGTGAGACTCAAAATCTCCTGATTGCAGTAGGTCGCAAATTCGAATCCTACACGTAGCCGAGTTTTTTTCTAATTCCGGGCTTATTTCTCTTTTTTTCTTATTTCACTTGATAGAGCTGCTTTCTGATTGTGTTCTCGCAAGTGTGTGCGAAGCGCACCTTCGCCAGTGTTGAAACTTAAAATATGGGGCTCGTGTCTAGATACTAATCACTATTTTGCTATTTTTGTTTTCAAGACAGGAACATCAAGTTATTCAACCTCTTCGATAACAATCCAATCCTCTGGGCTCTTGTGGACTTACTGGCTCAAGCTAGACCCATGCTATGCCATATCTTATCCGTACTATCTTCTCTTCTGCATGTGATAATCACGTTTTGGGAATCAAATCGCAGTCCAGACACAGAAAGAAATGCTAAAAATCTATTCTACTCGAAGCGTCTTCTAGCTATGATGGAGGAATCGCAGTTTATTCCGAAACAACTGGCTATTCTGCAGAATACGTTCGAAGATATCTCGCCTTTTGAGCTGGCGTCTATTTTGACCATATGCTGGAGATATGTACAGGTTAGCATCTCAACTTCACTCAGCTTTAATAGGTTTTTATCGTAGCTCCAACTAGCATAACAAGACTGCTCGTAGCAGGGCAAACTGGTCTGGAATAGTTTTTGGTAACTGAATCATTTGATAGCTTTCTTTTTTAATGAAAAAAGTTTTCATGAAAATGTGGGTCTAGTTAAGAGTAATGAACGTAGTGAAGACTCTTAAATAGGTCTTGCTGATTTTTTTTCAGGAAAAGTCTTAAAAGTCTCTAATAACTACAGATGTGCATTCATACATATTGATGCATTTATAAATGCACTTAGGTATATATGCACTTTTTGAGTTCAAATGAAATTCATCTGCTGAAAGCGACGTGAGTAGCACTCTCCAAATGCGAACGTGAAAATGGCGCAAAAAGTGAACGATTTCTAGTTTCGAAAGTGGAATTTAATTTTTTTAGATTTGCAGTGGAAGAAAAAACTTTACCTATTGATCTAGTTTTTTCTAGTTGGGTTCATGTTATCAAAAAAGCGTCAATCATAAATTGTTCTAGAATTTCAAAGAGCTTAAACGGCATTTTTTTCTTTGAAATTCGAAGTTGAGGGCTATGTTCTAGTAGTGTGGTGGTACAAAGCGGGGTTGTTTCGCGAATGGTCAAACGTTTGAATCCGAGACCAAGCCAGTTTTTTCTAAGAGTCGATGAACGTAGTTAAGACTCTTCTATAGCTCGCGATGAGTTTTTTCTCGTGTTTCTTACATGTTATATATTGGGGCTCAAGTTTACTTTTTCGCGGTTTGACTTCTGGTTTCTGATTTCCGAAGGATATTGCAGTCGGGTACTAGACTTTTTTCCCGTAAATAACATAGTTCACAGGACTCCTCGTGATACCGTGGTTCATAATGATTTCAAATTTCTCAGTGTCTCCTGCGCGTTTGTCCTGGAGGTAACGATTATGCCTTGGATGGCAATAGTCCTGGGTTCAAATCTGAAATATTACGGTTCAAAAAATTTACAGCCTATTATTTGTCTGCCTATATTTTTTTGGCTTAGTTGCCACATCTAAGAATCATTTTTTGCTTCAAACATTTTTCACTGTAGTTGCTTTAAGTATTTTGGCCGAATTGAACTTGTTTGTTACATTGGGTGTAATTTTACTAGCTCGGTATGTGAAAATTTATTTTTTTCCTTTTTTGTTTTTTATCGGCTTAATTTATATCGACCTAGTGGCCTCCTATTGCGTCGTTTGGGGATCGAAAAGTTTTTATATGCGTGCTTGTGTTCTGAGTGGAAAAGGGACATCAAATTTTTCGGAGTAAAAGGTTTCCGCCCAGGCTTTGTTACCGCTTGGTTATTATAAATTAAAATTCAATTAACCACCAGGCGCATCTGGAGTAGAGGTAACCCAACTGCTTGAGACCGCAAAGGGTTGCGGTTCGAATCAGTCCGGGACTTTTTTAAACTAGAAATGATTTTTTTGAAATATTGGTTTCTTTCTAGCCTTCTGAAAGGTTTTTGTGAAGTTGATGATGCTGGCAATTTTTTTTCCGGGCTTTTTAGGCGTGTTGAAAAAGTTTTTGACAACCACAATTTTTGAAGTATTTTTTTTAATCTTTGTTTTAAATCATAATTTAAATTTGTATCGCAAGTGGAGCGAAGCTCAGCTTCGCCTCTGTTTATTTTCATTCAAATTTTAAAGTTTGAGTTTTACTAAGCGCTCATTGCTGGTTGAATGCTTAGTAATTTTATCCTAAGTTATAAGTCTCACCTTAGATCGTCAAGTTGTCTTGACAAAAGTTAGAGTAGAAACAATAGTTAGAAAAGGTATGAATTAATTAGTTGGTTAGATACAAAGCACTGGGTTATTAGATTATATAAATGAATCGAACAGCTTAAAGAAATATACCTATGAGGGGAGGTTGAGCTAATCTTATTTTGTTCATCAAAATTTTATCTTCTTACTAAGGTCGGTGCCTGATTAGTATGTATGGTTGCCCTTGATTTTGTCCAAGTCAGCACTTCTGGTTGGGTCGTCTGAATCGTCTTGCCGTAGTCCTTAGGGTACTTGTAGTCCAGACTTCCTCAGGTGTGGGTCTCTCGAGTATCTCGATTTATAATTTTATCGAACTTTAAATGAGAATTTATTCTCTATTTTATTTGTGAAAAAGGCTAGTTTAATTTTATTGTAAAGGCAGAAAAGAAAAATTATTTATTTTGAAAAGATCTGACTGAAGAGATCTGACTTGCTGCTTACTGAGCAAAATGAAACACTGAAGATTTCAGGCCAGTCCTTTTGCTCGTAAGCATAAACCGGCGGCTGATTCAATCTTTAATTATTCAGATTTCACCTGCTCCTTTGTTCTCCCTTTTTAATAAGGGAATTTTCAACTAGTTTTTATTTGATTTTTTCAAATCAAATATCTTCAACTTATTAGTCCCCTTTGATGAAAACCGCAGCCTTCAGTTTGTCTTATTAAAAATTCATATTACTCTCTCTGATGCATCATATTGCAGGTGCACCTCTGCTTAATCAAAGCAAGGAGAATTTCAGTGCAGCCGGCGAGACTGCTAAATATTTATCCAGTTTGTTTCAAGTTAAGTTAAAAGGGACGTATTAATAATCGCCGCCCTTTTAAAATATTGAGCATGAAAAAATGAGAAAAATTGGACAAGTATTTAAAAAGGAGTGGATTTTCAAAACAAGATTTTATAGTCCTAAAAAGAGTAAATCAGTCAATATCTGATTTAGTGAAAAGAGGCTTTAATTTAAATGGCACGCTCCAATATAGAATTGGGTCGTTAAATAAACAATTAAGACAATGGTCTTTTGTGTATGTGTAGTATTTCGCAATACTACAACTCACCCCTTTTTTTAGAAAATTAAGCTGTTCGATTCTTACAGTTACCATGGTGAAAATTTAAACACTTTACTGGTTAAATACTATAGTTATAAAATTTAAAAAGAACATCAAATGAAAAGGTTGAAAAGATAAGTTAGGTTTTATCTAGAGCTTCCTTCCGGCTTCTAGCTCCACATTGTATGATCTGAGGATCGCTATCTTCCTCTGTGAAGCCTCAAGTTTTTGTTGCAACTTCACGATTTTCTTCTTTTTAATTTTGTTTTTGATTCGTAGTCTGCTCATTCCGTCCGTAAGTTGTTGAATGTCGTCCTGTTCTTCCTGTCTGTTTTTTATATGGTTCGGAAAAGCAGTTATTCCCTCGAACGGGATGGTGACTTGCGTGCCTCCTGCCTTGAGGATGTAGCCGTGTTCCTCCCTCTTCTTTAATTTCCAGAAGTTGTTTTCGTTCTTTATAACCACTTCTGGCTGGGTTATGAAGTCGATAGGCATCATCGCCTTTTCCATTGTCATTGAATTGACGACTTCAATGAACGATGGTAGTTTCCATCTGTTATAATTTTCCTTTATTGAGTACTTTAAACTCGTTATATATTTTGGATTTTCCGTATCCAATTTGGTTTCTCTGCACTTCTGCAGTTCCAATCTTTGGGTTAAATTGGGAAAATTGCGAGGATTCTTATTTAACCCGTCGTCCATTGACAAAGATTGTACTGCTACAGGTTTTCGTTGTTTCTTCCTGCGAGGCAGCTTTCTTTTAAACTCCTCTGGTGCTGGGTCTGAATTTCTGCAGTTCCAGTTTAAAATTGGGTCGTATTCCATTTGCTAAACATCAATAAAAAATGACCAAATTTTCAAAATCCCGAATTACATTCGGATATTAGGGCTAATTATCAAATCTTTGAACAATGAAGGACAAAGTGTAAAATTGTATATATATAAAAGGTGGAAAATATAATCTTGTGGTTTCACACAAACCCACCACGGAAAACAAATGAAGAAAGACGATCATGGTGTTTATTAACCACAGGAATACAAATGAAGAAAGACGATCATGGTGTTTATTAACCACAGGAATAAAGCATTTTCCGACACTGAGTTAAGCTCAGATATTAAACTTATGTAGTTAAAGCAAAAATGGAAATTTTAGGCATTAATTAACCCCTAATATAAAAGTATGTCCACCTGGTTGTCATAACCAGCAATTTTTGTTACATTTTTTGATAGAAAAAACAAAAGATTTAAATTAGAATCAAATCAAAATGAAATATCGTAGAAAAGGAAAATTAAACAGACAATTTGCAAACTGTATAGTTTTCAAAAAGATAAGTTTATTAGTTTATCTTTGGTTTTAATCCTCTGCATCAATCCATGTTCACATCTTTAGTACAGAAAGTCATCCTGAACTTTATGATGCAAAAATTTAACGTAAACAATCTTAAGGATGATGTGGTCCAATTTTCAAAGTGTTGCTTCTGAAAATTTGTTGTTTTTGAGGGTTTAAATGCCTGCATGTTGTGGATTTTGGGCTACCGAATTGATATTTTGGCCAAATTGTGAGGAGTGAATCATAAGAGTCTCAAAGGCTGCATACAGCCACCAACAAGCACTTGCGTTGTTTAAAGAATATGGTACCATAATTTTAAAAAGGCTACATGAAGCCACCAACAAATGCTGGCATAAATCTGCGGCGGGTCGGGTCGAAAAACGTTGTTCGCCCATTTTTTGATAAAGAATATTGATGAAAATTTTTATCAATGTGTTGAGAAGAAAGGAGGTGATATCTCCCTTTTTGATGAATTTCTTCTAGTTTGCATTTTGTAACTTGAAAACTACAAAGATGATAATTATTGTCATCGGTCCCTACTTGGGCCCTAAGAGGAATCCGATGGTGCAAATTAACTTCGCAGAATGAGTTTGTTACAATCTTACATTGGCTAGTTCTTTCATCAAAGGTTTCACTCTATTAATTCTCGTTATTGCACGTAGGGTAATTTGACATTCCCTTAAGTTTAATACTGAATTTTCAGTTAATAAAACCGCCTGAAAATGAATTCATTATAGACTCGTAACACTGTAATATTTGAAACTCCTGGCCTTTTGCAGTTTTTTTGCAAATATATTGAAGTCGAAAAACTTTTTTTTGTCTGAGCCATTGGCTTCCGATC